TTAGTGACCCGCCCGGTGAAACTAGGCCTTCCACACCAGATTCGTTGAAATTTATCGTTCGTTGCCGGATGGTTTACCGACGTGCCGTTTCCGGTTCGTTAAACGTTCTCCGGAAGAAAGCCGATTTGATCGATGAAATTTTTCACGAAATCACCTCGAAGTGGATCGACGATTGATCTTTTCCACGACCTCGTTTTCCATCGTAGATCCTTAGATTCCTTCTTCGTTTCAACGCGATTTTTCTCCGAATTCTCTGCAACGTTTGAAGACTTTAAATGCTCAAAGAATAAGCGAGAAAGGCAGATAAAGTAGATAAAGTACTTCACAAAGTGCCAGAGAAATTATTTGGCATAATAGTTTATTGATAGTTGATGATTCGTAAAAATTTGAAAGAACGAGTTTATAGTGTATATGTTATCTTCGTATTTCATTTATCATTAGAGAAGACTACCTAGTTACTTTAATCTATCGTATTAATTATGTGGGTAAAATTAGGAGTTGGTGTGTATACACATCAATTGAATCGAATGACAGTAGTTGGCTTCTTTGAAGAGTCAATAATTTTATTGTTTCATGTTTGTTAATAAAATTTAAACATTCGTAGTTTCATTAAAAAAGAAAGATTAAGCATTTAAATGGCAAAAAGAAATATCGTCGAACAGTTACGCAATCACCGAGTAACTACATAAATATTCTAAATGATATCAGGAAACTAAATTTTATTTACTGTAGTCGATCAAGTGAATCTCTTCGATATTTTTTAGTTCTCATTAAAATTTTCATAAAGATAATGTCGCTTTTCATATAACGAATATACTCGTCGAACATGTATAGCTAACATCAATTTAAAACGCATCTTATCGCGTAATTTATCGTGTAAGAAAGGAGAAATTAATCGTTCGTTTCTGCTTATGATGCAGTCGATTTCTATCAGCATGAATGACACAGTGTGGTGAACAACGATGGAGAAATTAATTGTAAGTGTTGTTCGTGACTAAGCAGCGAGCGTTTCTGATTCACGATCCTGGGGATCGTTCCGCACCTGTCTCGTCCTAGATCTTTCGAATTTTTTTCTTTTTTTTTTTTCTTTTTGGTTTTTTGCCTCGATTTTCTGAGTGATAAAGAACGATGTTACGTACGACGAAGTATTACAACGCTTCTAAAAAGCTAATTTAGAACAACCTTAAAAGGAACGAGGAATTGTAAAGGTATCTTTGGACATAGTCTCTGTTCTTTCGTACAATGAAAGACCCGATTTCTAGAAGTTTAACGCAAATAGAAATCATTCGAAATCGTTCGCAATGTCAGCCGAACAGGACATTTAAATTACCACTGTGGCGGGAAATCGAACGTCTGCCTTGTTGTGCAATAAAATTATTAACCGCGTGTAAAGTCTATGAGCGTTGTGCTCGAGAAAATGATCGTCGTTGCGTCAATCATAGTGTCGTCTCGATCGGTCCACTAAACCTCGTCCACTTGAAAATTTTCTTTTCCTTCGTGGTTGTTTGCTTTTACGGTAAGGCTTCAGTAAACAGTTTAGAAAATAAAACAGTAACACTTATTATAGTAGTTGTAGCTGATATTTCTGAAAGGATTTAAAAAAGAAATTTACAAATTAATTCCCAGCAGTTTAAGACTTATGTGTTACTTATTAATTAATTTTTTATTTAAATCACAGAGATACACAACATAAAATAAAATTGTAACTACTAATATTTTATTACTAATGTTTTATGCTATTATTTTAGTAATCGAACAGTCATATATAATCTAACTTGGGACATAATACATGTGTTAAAATATTTGCATTACGTTTTACACACTTTGTCGAACATCTGTAACGTCACTTAAACTTAGAAAGATACATTTCTTCCTATTCATCTATATTTTATTTATTAATTTATTAATTATTATAGTATTGTTATATCGTAGCAAGGAGTGTGGCTACTAATATCTTCGAAATCCAAATAAGAAATTCTCAGTCGTAATTTCTTTTTCCACAAGCAAAACGTTGACGAAAAATCAGACCATGTAACAACGTAAAATAGAACTCCTCATTTGCTTTGCTAATTGCCCTTATCTCGATAATCACGAAGAACTGTTGGCAGTCGAAAGTAAAAGCGTGGCAACGCGCGCGAATCGTTGTGCAAGAAGTGGTCGCAAAACCACACCATATAATCAGTTTCGTTTACTAGTGGCAGGAAAAACCTTAAGGAAAATTTGAAATTTATCGCGGAATTTTTCTCTGTTCCCGAACGTTCTTCGAACGAATTTCTTTCGCAATGTTACCACGTCAAAGCACACTGATTATCGTTCCATGACGTTGTGAATCAAAGCAAAGATCAATTAAGAACATGAGGATTTAACGAGCTGCATGGAAATAAGTATGTAGAAAGGGGTTACGCGATACTTGAAAGATCCTTGTTCTGCTTAGAAGCTATGAATGTTTCCTTTGTCCATTTTCTTTCCTTGATTTCTCGAGGCTGAATCATTGTCTGCATAACGTCACTGTTCGAACGAGGAAATTGATAATTGCTAGACTGTCAATGTTTGCGAAAATTCATACTTTATGACCTTTTTCTAGTAAAAAAAAAAAAAACAAAAAAAAATGGAACTTAAATAGAAATTCTTTATCTATAATATAAGTATTATAGTGAATATTTTACTGTCTATATTGTACATATTTTTTATGTCACTGGACTGTTGATGATTATTGAATTTAAGGATGCAGAATAAACAGTGTAAAATATTTAAACAGAATACTTATTATAATATTTGGTAAATTAACAAACAGAAATTTGATAAATTTGGTAAATTTCTATGTGCATTTCATTATTTCACTAGTGTTTTTGTAAAAGCATGCATGAAAATTTTCAATTTAAACATGACCTAAAAAAAAAGTTAGAATCAAAAATTAGAATTAGAATTAGAATTAGAATAAAAAAAAATTAGAACCAAATATTATAATAAATTCTTTATTAAATCTGACTAAAAATAGCCCTAATCTAAATAGCGATTCATTTCACCTGTTAAACGATATAACGATATAATTTATATATTTTTACACTATAATTATGCATTCTATAAATATTCCATAAATATTCACTAATCTAATAATTATTAACACGTTTCGTACGAATAAATTAGAAAATCACTTATCCGTCAAATACGTATTGCTATACCAATAACAACGAAACGTAAATTAATGATTAAACGAAAGTTCGTCACAAATAATATAATGATACTGATAGCAATAATAATAAAACGTACCCTGTGATCAGGTGAAAATTCATCACAGATACTAACGATATTAACAGTGATAATGATAAAATAGGTTATGATCAATTGAAAATTCGTCACAGATGATATAATAATACTAATAATAATAATAATAAAATAACTCGTCACGGTGAAGAAGAAAGGAAGATTGCACGATGCAGAGTGCACCATGAATGGATGTTTAACTGAAACGCCTGGAGCAGGAAATCCCGGCAGGGATTAGCATACAAGTAAACACGGCGATTGTATAGAAAAGAGAGGCGTTAGAAATCCTTTCAAGGTCTGACTTTCTAATTCCCCGGGAGTTTTCGTCGCTCGTTACGTTGCCTGCTTGCACGGTGCTTGCTCTGACGCCAACGAACTGGTTCCCCTCCCCAGAAAAATGCCTTTAAACTGTGACTTTTATTGAGCTACGTTCATGAAAGGAGCCAAAGTTTGATCTCGTTTCGAAGTTCCAACGCGGTTACAGCCCGTTTTCCAAGTGGAAATTTAACAAACCTGCGCGGTAACGAACGTTGCACTAATGTCGTCGTAGACTATTTGACATACTGACGTGTCACATGGAATATCTAGCTCTTACATTTTTTTTCAATGGATAAGCAGAATAAAGTAAGCAGATATTCAAGTATCGGATTAGATTTGTCACGGATGAAAACTGCCGAGATACATAATCCACGACAGAAATGTGCCGAGTCCAAGTTATAAATCTGTGATATCGGTGAAATTCAACGTTCTAATGCGACCGGTTGAAATTCTTGCCTCTGTGTGATAATTTAATATTCAATATTTATTACCTTTGAATGTTCGAACACTTGTAGAAACTTTTTTTTGTTTAGATGTACTTACATTTATAAACTATATGTTTCGCAGAGATTACAGAAATGTTTAAATCCATTTTACCAGTTTTTGTCGGGTACATGCTTTCAATGAATATCTCGTAACTTATCGATGTCTCTTGTTAGAATGTTAATGAAATTACGAAAGATTTTAATATAACGCACATTTTATGTATATCGAAAGGTTCTTCTGTAATAAATGTTCGAATACTTTCATGAGCCACTGCAAGTAGATCCAGCCATCAAAAGTCAGACGCTAACAATTTCTTTCCAATAAACGGAACGAAATTTCATTATAATTTCGCTGTAATTACTAAACTATTAATATTCACGCATGATGAATATAAAACTTATGTTCTCAAAATATGTAAATATGCGTTAAAAATACATACATATATATATACACACGCGCGAAATACATATATAGATTTTATGAGCAATTTATTCAAAATTACTTATAAATTTATTTACAAATATATATTGTATATAAGATAACATTATTATTTAAATTAGTATAAAGATGGTGAAAGGATATTTATAAATAGCATGTAACATTGTTTGAACTGATGTTGAAATATATTCTGCAACTTCGTTTTCACAAGTTTCGCAATTTCAGTTCACAAAGTCAGTGCACAACGACTATCAGTCGTTGCAGAAGCTCGAATGTAATGATACATTTCGTTATCGTACCGTAGCGATACTTCAACGGACAATTACAGTTAACTCGTTAAGAATTCCGACAGGAATTCTCTTTCATTGACGTTTACCACGGCTCGAGCCCTATTATAGATTTGATCGATACTTTTCTTTATTGCATCACGAAGTGCTGTTTAATTGCGAGCAAACGTCATACCGGCAACGTAATTCATAACTGGCTCTGAATTTTTGTGTTTCAGCAAGAGCCGAGGCAAGAACTCGATGCCAGCAACGGGAGCAGCAATGGCGGAAGACCGAGATTCGTGCCTGTGACGGCGCTCGAGGACGTGCAAGCGGTTCGTTGCGCGGAATTCCACCCCCATGGAAAATTGTACGCCGTGGGATCGAACTCGAAGACGCTGAGAATATGCTCTTATCCAAAGCTTCACGATGTCAGGTGAGATAATGATAATTTCTCTCAGACCCTTGTAAATTTCATGATTCTCCCTCTTCGTTTTTTTTTTTTTTTTTTTTTTTTTTTGTTTGTATTTTACGAATCAGTATAATGAAATAATCTTGATTTAGTTATCTTTTATGTTTCTTTCTTCCTTTATTTTCTTGTTCGTTTGAAATTTTGTAGAACAGTTAGTGTATTTTTTTCTTCTTTTTTTTTTGAGATTAATCCGTGTTGCACATGTATTTTAAAAATAATAATAATTTGAACAAGTTCTTCGGGAAGAACGAAAAATTCTTTGGAAGCTTGAAAGATATTATTTTCATTCTATATCTTTAAAATACCTGTCTGATAATTTTAATATTTTCCCAACACGGGACTGAATCATTTCAAATCGTAATACTCCAAGAAATACACGTGTAATATTTTTTAGAATATATTCTCATGTGATTTTCTTATCAATTCCTTATTTGCGAATGATCAATTTAACGATTTAACTGTTTACAACGCGTCTAACTTGATCTTTTTTTAAATATATGTCTTCATCTCGATCGACATCATTCATGAAGAACGATTGCCTTTCTTATCACCATTTATTTGTGACTTTGTATCTACCATTATCGCACTTTCTTGCGTTCAGTCTCACGAAATACTTCTTTCTAATACATGCGTAATATAAAATCGAGAAAGTGGACTCGAAAAGAACATAAACGCGTTGGAATCAACAATTAGTAGACTTTTATATTTTTATCTCAACGATTTATCAAACTGGACTCTGCACGTCGTATTTCGAAATGGGATGTCGCAAAGAGAAATCTTTCGAAATTTACATTTGCTCGCGTGAAGAAGAAAAGAAACGGTGAAGGGTACGAGTGATTTATGTTGCTAGAATATCTGGAACCATCGTAAATTGCGGATTATTGATAAAATTATCGTTGTATTAACAAGCACAACACTGAAACGATTGATAATTAAACGAAACACGTCTCGATAGTCGAGCGATTTGTATTCAATCGAATTTACATTCGACAACTATGACTCTCAACGAGCCAATTATTTATTGCTTAAAAACAATACAAACAATACGAAGCATTGTCTGTATTTTGGTCGTTTTAGGAAAATAATTTACATTTTTATTTTATTTTTATTTTTTTAGTTAAATTAAAGATTTATTTACTGTTATTAAAATGAGAAAAATATTATTATTATAAAAGATAATATCATTTTATTATATTTTATAATAATGATGTTAGATTAAATTTGTGTAATATTGCATTATAACTAAACTATTATATACTTATTATATACTATTATATACTTTTTCGTGAGTTAGTATTTTTTTGATATTTTTTAGAATATTTCTTAGAATTATTTTTAAACGATGCACTAAATTCGCAAATTTTCTCCGCACGGAGAAGAAGAAATTGACGCGGCACCATCATAATCCTTTACAGCGCTATATTTATACGATTCTACACGAGTCGTCGTTGAGCGGACTAATTTAACGCAAGCCTGCTGACTTAACGAACGACGAAGGCCTTCATACCAAACGGAGCATCCCTCGATCTTTCATGCGATTCTTTTATTGTTTGCTATTTCGCGATTTCGCGATTCAGTCTGTCTTTCTCTCTCTCCCTCACTGTCCACCTTTAAATGAATTTCAGTCTAAATTTCAGAGCAGAACTATGTATTTTATCATTCTGGTTGATGACTATGATTTCAGTTCATCGTTCACGACACATAAAATAAACCGTATGACAATGCGCGAAATTTTTTTTCTAAATTATATGAGGAATATATCACTTTTATGTAACATTGAATTTATTATTTTTTGTATTTGGCTTTTTTTCTGACAGAGATGATAATGATAATAAAATA